TCATTTTCGTCCGCACCATCACCCTTCCGAAATCAGTCCCCCGTGCATCACTTCAAATGATGGTGGTCCCATCGGTCCCCCGCGTGCGAAGTCCTTTCCGCCTCACTTCCTTCCTACTGCCGTTTAAGGAAGCGCTGAAGCAGGGCGGCGGCACGTGCTAACATAGCAGCCCGTAACAGGCCCCCCACTTGACCAAGCGAGAACGCCTGCACATCCTGTAGATCTGGGGATGCCGAGGCGGAGAGAGAGAGAGAGAGAGAGAACCAAAAAACAAGAGAAAAAAAAGGAGAGATGGATAGATAGATGGCAAGCCAGCCCCTGAAGAAGCCAGAGTGCCGGGACGAGTCCGCTCGCCTCGCGTCTCAACCTCACCGCTGGCCCCGCTCTGGGGCACATCGGCCCCGCTTTCGCCTGCGAGGTGTGGGCTTCCCTCAGGCTTCCTGGCTATCCTCGGGCCTAAGCCGCGGCACCCTGTCGGTGTTGTCGATCACGATTATCGGCAGGAACTGCTCCCTGTCGCTGCCATCGATCAGAGTCTTCTGGTAAGCGGCGAGGGCAGGCGAGGTACGATCAGCCGCGGCACCACCTGCCATCAAACACAAAACACTGATGACGACGGACCCGATAGATGCACACCAGGCAGCGAAGGCCGCCTGGTTTCTGGGAACAGGCTCGCTGAGCACCGTGAGCCCCACCAGGAGACCAGTGGAGATGCTCGCGATCGTTGTGAAAGTGACGACAATCGCTGCTCGACCTTAACCAGCCTCGAACTGATCCCTATCCGCAAGATTGACGAGCCAAACAGCGACGAGAATGTCAGGACTGCGCCCTCAGAAACTGAGGGGACCCCTGACATCGGCATCGAGATGAGGCGACGCCAAGCATGGGGATAGGGGCACTGGCTTCAGGCTGGCAGGACCTCGCTTGAAGCCCCTGGTCTGGAAGAAGAAGCCGGCGGGCGACAGCAGCAGGGAGCACGCGATGCCTCCGCCGGCGCACAGGAGACGGAGACTGCCGTGCCGGATGCCGGGCTGCTGGGACACCACCTGGCCCAAGCGGGTCGAGATGGCGGAGAGTCCGAAGAACATGCCCCCCTGGATGCCGCTCACCACCTCGAGCGACCCATCTCGCGTGCTCCTCCGATAGCACACCTCGAGCACCACCTGCGCTCCCACGATGAACAGCAGCAGCGGGAGGACAGACCTCGTCGATATGCGACTGATCGAGCGGGCTGCAGTGAGCCCCATTCCAACCACACCGACCATTGCAAATCCAACCCCGACCCATTGCTTAACGTGTAGCTTCTCGTGCAAGTAGTGGTGACAGAAAAGAGCGAGTATTGCCAATCCAGAGCCTGCGACGGGCTCGACCAGAGACACGGGAGCCAACGAAAGCGCCAGCACCATGAAGATTGAGCCACCGATGTCACATGCAAACCCGATCAACCAGTCCGCACACGTTACGTACTGATACAGCACGTCTCGCTGCAAGCGTAAAACTGGAAGCTTGTGAGTAGCTTCCTTTTGGAACACTTTTCCGATGTTTACGCCTGTCGCAGCCAGAACGGCAAAAACGATTGGAACTGAGAGCGACATCTTGGCACGCTACCTCGATCCGTCCTCCCATATTTCTTGAGCCAAACAGGCTACTGACTTACCCTGCATGGGTTCCCCTTCTTGACAGCCTTCTCTATTTACATCCCAGCATTTATCCCAGGGAGTGTACGGTACATCACGGGATATGCCCGGCACGAGAAATATCTACAGGGTGCCTTTGTTCGCGTGGCGCCGAATTGAGCTATCGCAATCTGGGGATACAGAAATACACCGATCTCGCCACTCCCCGGACTTCTCCTAAGTTGCGTTCTGACCAGATCTCCGAGGAGAATCCAGTCCTTCGCCAGGCCTTTCCAAGGCCTTCGGGCACCCTGCTATCCGGGTTTGGGACTCCACAAGTGGGCCCCACAGGTAAGAAGCCGGCCTCCTCCTCCTCCTCCTCCTCCTCCTGCTCCTCCTCCTCCTCCTCCCCACCCGCTTCCCCTCCGCAAGAGCGAGCAGCGGTATTGGTACCATCCCGTCCTCCGACCATCGGGCCTGCGCCTGGCGGCAATACTTCCGAGCGGAGCGATCCCCAAACCGTGCCTGCACTTCTGCCTCTCGCGCTCTCTGTGGCAGCGCCCCTGCTTCTCGGTCTGTTGCCGTGTTGCTCCCATCGCACTGAAGGACCGCATCCCAGCACTAATTTCGAGCACCCAGAAAAGAGTATCGAAACAGTGTCGAACGAGCATCGCCTCCCAGGGCCCGCCACGTGAAAATCCTCTCAAGTTTCGGTGCTTTATTGGTGCCTTATGCGATCAAGGCTAAACTAGGTTGGAAAGTCCTAAGTCGATTGTTCCACAAGGCTTAAGGCCCCTTTGGGTCCAGCCCACTACTTTCAATTATGCTGTAGATGCTCGGACCGCCAACAGCAGTGTATGCTCAGACCGCCTACGGCACCGCCCCTGCGTATTACTCAGGCCGTCGTCCGCCGCTCGAGGCACCTTGATGCTCCGTGGGGCTAGTGCTCTGTGGCTGGTCGGTGCCCCTATGGCCTTCTGCCAGGGCTCGAGCGAAACAGTGTCTCGGCGGCAAGCGAGGGGAGGAAGTGAGAAGGAGAGGGCCTTTTCAGAAGGCGGCGGGACTTCTCAGAAGCACTCGCGCCTTCTGAGAAGCTTTCTCTGTCCTCGGGGGAGGCTCAGAAAACTTCTCAGACGGCCGGGGGACGACCTTCGAGCTGCCTGAGAAAGCCCACCCCTTCTCACTTCCCCCTCGGGCTCGCCGCCGAGTATTTTCGTGATCGTGTTCGTTTGTTCGGTGTCCTTCGTTCTGTTGTTCCGCTTTGGGCTGCGAAACGAGATCGAAACAGAACGGTCCACGAGATCGCCCAAACTGACTACCTACCAGACCACCCCAACCCAACCCGAAGACCCGATTTTCGGGTTGGGGGGGGTAAGGGTTCCACGCGTGTTTTTTCGAGGTTTCCCGACCCCCCCCCACTAGAAATCGAGGGTAAATCTGAACCTTCGGGTTGGGTTGGGGTGGTTTGGTGGGTGGTGACAAACACCGTGCAGCTGGAGCCCTGCTTCCTGCCTGCCACAGTCCGAGATTCGCCCGCAGGTGCCCCAGTGGACTGGTGCCTCCGCGCGGGTGTCCTGTGAGAGAAACAGGAAGCGGCATACGTACGGCAGGTTCGTGTCGTGCCGACCCCGGCGTTGGTTTCTGACACCGCGGGGATCGTTCAATCTTGAACGATCGGCCGTTTCCGCAACGTCCAATCGTTCAACATCGATCGATTCTGGGCCGCCGCCGGCGTTCAAAGTTGAACGCCGCTGGCGGGGTCGCCGCCGGTCGACACGACACGAACCTACCGTAAACATGCTGTCTTGGAGGCCCGCGCGGATTTCTTGCATCGGCACTGTATCCCCCCCCCCCCCCTGGGGCGCGGAGCGCGCCGGGGGCGGCGCCGTAGGCGCTGCCAGGGGGGGAACAGTGCCAATCCAAGAAATCCGCGCGGGCCTGGAAGGACATCATGCTCGTGCTCTTGTCGTCTTCCCCTCGACCTATGTATGCGCTGGTGCCCCCTGCGCATCGGTGCTCGTTGCAGGTTCCCTCCTTCCCTCCCCTCCCATTCCCTCCCCATCCTCCTCCTCCTCCTCCTCCTCCTCCTCTCCTCCTCCTCCTCCTCCTCCTTCTCCCCTGTGCGCTGGTGCTCTCTGGTGCGCCCGCGCCCCGTGGCCGGTGCCCTGTGCGCCGATCAGGCTCCTCGATGGGGGGCGCCCCAGGAAGGGGCGGAGGAGGAGGAGGAGGAGGAGGAGGAGGGCGAGGAGGAGGAGGAGGAGGAGGAGGAGGGCGAGGAGGAGGGGGAGGGGAGGAGAGGAGAGGAGGAGAGAGGAGGAGGAGGAGGAGGAGGAGGAGGGCGAGAGGAGGAGGAGGAGGGCGAGGAGGAGGAGGAGGAGGGGGAGGAGGAGGAAGAGGAGGAGGAGGAGGGGGAGGAGGAGGAGAGGGAGGCCGTCACGGGAGACCACTGCAAAGCAGCAGCAGCACGGGCAGCAGCAGGTGGTTCATCCGATGACCCAGACGAGGAGGGTCGGCAGCACGCACAGCGCGCGGCCCTCTGAGAGGGCGGGGCGGTTGTACAGGATGGAGTCGGACCTGGGACAGAGGAACATCCTTCAAGGACATGGGACCCTGCGCCAGCCAAAATGAAGAGCATTCGAGGGTAATTACCATCCCCCGGGATGCACGAGAACATCCGACAAGCATGACGAACATCAGGACACCCTCCCCGAATCGACCTCGATCTTACACCTCGGTCCGACTGCACCCGACAACGAAGACGAGGAGGCTCGGCAGCACGCACAGCGCGCAGTCCTCTGAGAAGGCTGGGCGGCTCTTACAAGATAGCGGCCTTCTTACGAGCACCTGAAGGTTTCTAAGAGGGTGCGCAGTGCAAACCGGAGAAGGCGGAGGAGGAGGACGAGGAGGCTGAGGGATAGCACGAGGAGGATCTGCGGCACGAGAGGAGGATAATGATGTGGGTAATGAGAAGGACGAGGAGGAGAGGGAGGAGGGGGAGGGGGAGGAGGAGGAGGAGGAGGGGAGGAGGAGGAGGAGGAGGAGGAGGAGGAGGGTTATCAAGAGCTGCCACCCCAGAATCTCTGGGCGATCCGCCTGCACCGGCGGGGCCCGGCCCCGCTCAGTGGCGCAGGCGGCGCGCCGCCGCCGCGGCCGCGGAGCCGACGGCATCGCCCTGCAGGAGGGAGAAGTCCGCACCTCCAGGGGGGGGGGCGCAGCTGATGAGCATGCGGCGGATCTCGGAAATCCTGACGCCAAAAACGGTTCCATCTCTTGGCGGGCGACTTTGTACTTCCGCCGCCCTCCGCCAGCCTTCCGCCGGCTTCCCCCGGCGGAGCCTACTTCCGTCGACCTTCCGCCGCCTTGCGCAGCGGACGAGGTGACAACTCCTTCGATCCTCGAAGGCAAGGCCACATTTGGAGTGCCCCGTGTGTCGAGTAGGGGATTACCCCAAAGTGAAATGTCCGTCGAGTCTGCAACAAAGACGTGGAAAGTGCCGTAGTTAGATGCACGGAGCATTGTACGTATTGTTCGTACACTCAACGGGCCAATCAGGTTCGAGGGTGAATCCATTCTGTGGTCGATCCCCCACTCGAATCTAAGCCAGAGTAGTGGATTGGGTACACTAGCGGTCGCAGGTCTCAAATATGCGTCCTTCTTCGCAAGAGAAGTCTTGCAAGACTGCTTGGTGCCTGGCCCTCAGGCTCAAGCCCGCGCGGCGGAGCAGGGGTACAGCGGGAGTCGCGCGAAACCCACGCAAAACTCGAACAAATCACTGTCCGATATTCCGGTCTGGCATCTGCAGCGGGCAAACCAACATCACCATCGTCATCAAAATTATCACTTCCACCACCAGCATCACCGTCAGCATCAATCACCACCGCACCCGCAACCATCATCATCACCATCACCATCATAATCCTCATCGTCATCTCCATCCACACCCCCACTCTCATCTTCATCATCAGCCTCATCAGCATCAGCACCACAATCCTTATCATCACTATCAGCAGATTCACCGTCACTCTAATCCTCATCACCATCGTGCGCATCATCATCACCATCGGCAGTAACAGCATCATAACCACCAGCACCCGCATCATAACCATCACAGTTGCCACCACCGGCATCAGCATCAGCATCAGCACCTCACCATCACCGTCGCCACCATCATCCTCATCATCAACATCATCATCATCATCATCATCATCATCATCATCATCACCTTCACCATCTCACCATTATCATCATCAGCACCATCATCAGCAGCACCATCATCATCACCAGCAAAATCACCATCAGCATCAACATCATCAGCGTCGCCATCATCATCATCACCATCACCCCCATACTGTTCAGCATACTCGTCATCATCATCCTCATCATCACCAGCATCATCAACCAATAAAATCCATCAATCAATCACTAGCTCCATCGGAGGCGGTCTCTGCACAAACAGCAAAATAACCGGGGCCATGGAGCATCGCAATAGCGAGCGGAAAATGCAAGCTCCCGAAGCCTGGCAACTCGGGCCCAAGCCCGCGCTGCCTCCATACAGGGCGGCCCCACCCCCCTGGCACGCAGCAGGGTGGGCGCCCCGCTTCTGAGGACCGCCCCCGTCCGTCGAGCACCGGTCGACTCGCAGGCGGCCCCTCGCAGGAGTGGGCAGCGGGCCGCGACACGCCCAGCCCCCGCGAGGAACCCCCAACGAGGTGCCCAGCGCTCATTCTACCCCGGGCTGGCTGTTTTTTCCCTTCCCCGCCCTACCTCGACCGCGGCTACGACCCCCCCCTCCCTGCCCCTTCGTCTGCGAATTAGCTCCAGGCCGAATCGATACTGGGACCTGGGGGGAGAGAAGGGAGATGTAGGTCTGAAACTCAACGTGATGTTTCCCTCAAGCACACTGACAGGGGGCGCCCCCTTTGGAGGCCTGCTCTCACTTCGCTTCTCCCGCGGCCACCGCCAGACACCTGGGAGCTTCCCGTTCGGGTGGCCCTCTCGGCGCCGCGCCCGCGAGCTCTTTGTCCGCCTCCATATCTTTCGCGAAGGTCCACAGCGTCTGACCGACCGTCGCTCCCGCAACCTGCCTGCTGAACGCCATCGCCAGCACTCCGTAATTGCCGCCCTTCCCCTCCGAGGCCCTGCTCCTGCGGTAGCGAAACTGGAGGCAGTCCTTCTCGAGTTGCTTTGGCGTCTTCAGCAGCACCTGCTCCTTCCAGCACTGCACCAGGATCTTGTGCGCAGCCTCGTTCGGCATCTTTCCCGTCGTGGACGTCTGGCAGAGGGCCCAGCGCACCGCCTTGGTGAAGAACCTGATGCCAGGGCTGCCCCGTGTATTGAAGTCCACTTGCTCGCCCTTGCCCTGCTTGACCTTCCTCTCCCCGCCCTCTGCGTCGCACTCCTGCACTTCGCCAGCTCCGCGCCCAGCATGCCCTTTGCCTCGCTGACGGCAACGCGGTCCTCGAGGCACGCCCCGAGCGCGGCCGCGCGCCTCGCCGCGGCCATGGAGAGCTTCGCCGTCGTCTTGCACGGGTCCACGGTGCCGCCGCCGCCCTTGCCCCCGCCGCCGCCGCCCTTGCCCCCCTGCTGTTTCTGCTTCTTGTCCTCGGGCGACTGCGCATCCGATCCAGGGGCCCCCATCGCGTCCGCGCCCTTCTTCGTCCAGTTGGGCAGCTCGAGGTCCTAGACCCCCGCCATCGCTCGCCTGCCCAGGTCGCTCCGCGGCGATGCTCCAGGGGGCGCGGCACGAGCCGACGCGCCCCCTGAAGTCGCCCCAGCCGGCCCCCTCGAACCCGCGCAGATCGCAAGCGAAAGAGCCCGGCACAAAGAGCGGGCGAATGACTCGACTCTCGCATCTCCCACGCCACCCCGTCTGGAGGCATGTCTCAAGATGCTTAGCCGCCTAGATCTGCCCAGCACAGACCCTCGCACATACGATGCATTCGCGATTTTTGTCTGAAGATGACAGAAGTTGCGAACGTCGCGCTCGCTGCGCCGGCAGCGAAGCAGCTGCCTCCGAGTGGCAAAGCGGGCCACGCACCTAATGTGGTCCTCGAGCTGGACCTCGCACGCGTAGATGTCCGTGAGCGCGCCCCCCCCTTCTCCGACTCCGACTGCGTTCCTGCCACGGGCCCCTTGACTCCAGGCAGGGGGGCCGGCGCCGTGCACCTGCTCGCCCTCACCTTGGCGAAGTCCAGTTCCGCGAACATCTCGGCCACGTCCCCGCGCGCCCCCAGCTTCCGGGGGGCCCTGCCCGGCTCCTCCAGCAGCACCGCGTCGTCGTCCATTGCGTTGATCGGCTCGCCGATGTCCGCCCCTACTCTTCGCGCCCATGGGGGGGCCGATTCTGACGGCCCCTCCCCCGCGCATGGTGGGGCGCCGTGGATGCCCGGCAGGTCAGCGAACAGCGTCGGCCGCAATTGAGCACGGCACCATCGGCGTCGCGCCCAGCTTTGGCACCACCTCAACCTGTGCGCCAAGAGCTCGGTCCTCGCGCCCCCCAACCTCCAGTGAGCCAGCACTTGATATGTCGCCACGCTCTCCACGCTGCCGCTTTCGAAACATTCGGTCGCTCCTGGCGCCGTCGCGATGCGCCCGTGCCGCGCCGGGCGCAAGCCCAGCTTCCTGCGCTGCGTCTCCGACAAGCTGAAGCGTTCCATGCCCGACAGGATCGCGCCCGTCACCGCGCCCAGGAAGATCGCTCTCCGCCGCCTCCACGGGATGGGATAGCAGGCCCCAGAACGCGCCCATTGCGCAGAAGGCCGTCTTCACTGCTTCACACCTCCTCGGGGTCTCCAATTCCAGCGATGCAGGGGCCCAGGTATCTAGCCACGACGCCCAGCTCTCCCTGGGCGCCGCCCTCGCCGAGACCCTTCGTCTTAACCCGCTGCCAGCATGCTGTGGAGCCGCTTCCTTGCACCAAAATGCTGGCCACCTACTTGCCCCTGTTCTGCCGCGCCCCCTGCTCGCTGAGCCCTCCGCCCAGCGCGTCGCCCGCTCCCGCGGCCTCTGCACCGCGCCCTTCATCTTCGCCCCTTTCTCCAGCCGGCGGCGCCTGCTCAGGTCGCCCGCGCGCGCGTGGATCCCCGAGTCGAGGTCAGGCAAGCCCCCCCACTCGAACACCGGCAAGTTCGCCGCTGACTGCATCTCCCGAAGACGAGCGGCCGACTTCTCCGTCGGCGCCGCGAAGGCCGCGGCGAAGGCGCCCACGCTTAAAAGGCCCCCCACCATCAGGCCGCCTCCGATCTTCACCGCGTGGGCCCCCGCGGGCGTCGGCAGATCTACGACCGCGCTCCTGCGCCGCCGCTTGCAGAGCACCTGGCCCTCTCTGTCTGCGTCCTGCGCCGCTGCCTGTTCCAGCGACTGCCAGCTCATTGGTCCGATGGCACTCTGGAGGTCCTTCATCGCGACTGCAAAGTTACACCCCCCGCACTCCAGTCTCCAGCTCAGCGCCTGGGACGCCATGATCGCGCCCTCCCTCTTCCTTCCCTTCACGAATCCGCAACTCTGCGGAAGTGGTGCGGATTTGAACCTCTTCGAATAGAACGCCTTGCCCAGGCTCGCCGGACAGCGGATGACTCTTCGACGCGCCGCCGCCGCCTTGCCGTTCTGCTTGCCCAGTCCAAAGGCCTTGCTCCTGCGCCAGCACAAGAGGGCAAACTTCGCCCTCTGATCAGCAGCGCGCCGCGATAGAGCACGTTCTGGAACAGCACCTGGTCACCTCCGTGCACCTCGAGGCCCGCGCCGCGCTTCTGCCTGGTCGTCTCCTTCTCCGCTTTCAGCGCCAGGTCCAACAACTCCAGGAAAGCCGCGCCAGGCGGCGCGACCCGCCTCTTGTGCGCCTTCCGCACATGCCGGGCTATCGCTCCCACGCCCTCGTTCGCCAACTCGACCAGATCCTCCGACGCCCTGGGGGACGGTGCCATCCCTTCCCGTCTCCGTCGCCACGCGCCTCACTCAAAGTCTGCTGCGCCCGCTCCGCCTTCTGGGCCCGGTCGGCTCCGCTGTCGCATCCACTCCTCGCTCTCTAGTGGTAGGTGTCCAAACATGCGTCCATCGCGATGTTTCGCTCCGAACCTGCACCCCGCTGCCAGTCTCGCGTGCTTCATCGCCTCCGCGCAGCGCCTATGTTGCCAACGCTGCTCGATGTTGATGTACTCCTCCTTCTGCCCATCAGCCTCTGCGCGCCGCTGCGCCTGCAGCGTCGCGGACAGCTCCTTCGGCTTGTTCCCCATCTACCTCAGCTTGTCCTCGTCAGCCTCGGATCCTCGAAATTCCGCAAGCTGCCTGAGCAAATCCCTCCGTGCCGCCGATTGTGCCCGTCTGTCTTGCTTCTGCTCCGTCGCTGCAAAGCGCTTGGAGTCCATTTCCCGCATTGGTGTCTCCATCAGTTCGAAATAAATGTCGGGCGCGCCTTCATCTGCATACTGCCTCAATCGTTCCTCATGCCCCGCAAGCGCCGCTGCCAATCTTCCAAGAAACTCCGGCTTCCCCATACCGTGCGCGACCGCGTTCATCATCGCCGTCGGGTCGCACCTCAGGTTGGACTGGGTGATGCCCTCGCTCGCACGCTTCTGGTAGTCGACCCCAGCAAGATCGGCAGGTGATCTCGCGGCGGCGTACCCTTGACCGCCTGCGTTCTCGCTCCCATATTATTCAAAACGCGCGCTCTCTCGATCCTCTCAAGGTAGCCCTGCGGCACGTAGAACTAGTCGATCGCACTGCTTCCTCCAAGTCTGCCGTCTCTTCCACTCGCGTAGTACGTCGGCCCCACTTGATCAACGAAGGTGGTGGGCGCCGCTATGAACTGCTCTTCCAATACCTGCCGCATACAATATCATGTTCCTTCCCTGCGTCGCTCTAGTCGCGAAACCTCCCAGCCCGTCCGATTGCATCCGTCGTCGTGACCCGCCAACTCCAAAGATCCCTATGCCGTCGCTCGCGTCCGCGAAGAAGCGTGCGCTGCGGTATCTCCTGCAGTATCTGTATCCACCATCCAATCAACACAACGACACTCTGCTTGTAGGCTTCTGCCTTCGTCTTGTCCGAGGGCTGCACAGGGAAGTACATTGCTCCATACACCACGTCCAACGATCCCCTCTTCACCCGCAGTACCAAGGCCCTTCCCGCCGCTCCGGGTGGTGACCCGCATGTCCGTCTGATATGCCTGTCCTGGATGTCCTTTCCCATCATGATCGCGCAACCTGCAGATCTAGTTGTGTACGGGCCTGGTTGATATTCCACCTCCACTGTCCGCCTGCCTTCCACTGTCTGTCGCAGTTTGCATCCTCTACTCTTGTACGCCGCCTTCGTGCCCGCCAGCACCACCGCAAACGTCGACGGAGCTGCAAAGGCCAGCTCCGACAAACGCACCGACGTGGAGGCATAGAGCGGGTTGAAGCCAATCAGCCTCAGCAGGTGAGACGGCGCCATGGCCTCCCACGTCCGTCCATGGACCGCCTTCAGCGAAAGCACGCGACGCACATGGCTGTCAGCTGCTGCTGTCCTCGCCCCCGCTCCCTTCCTGAGAAACCCTCGAGCGCGCGACGGCTATCATCATCATCATCATCATCATCATCATCATCATCATCATCATCAGCAGCAGCAGCAGCAGCAGCAGCATCAGCATCAACTTCATCTTTACATCATCATCATCATCATCATCATCATCATCAGCAGCAGCAGCATCATCATCGTCATCATCAGCGTCATCATCTTCATCATCATCATCATCATGACCAGCATCATCATCAGCAGCAGCATAATTATCAGCATGTTCATCTTCATCATCAGCATCATCCTCATCAGCATCCTCATCATCATCCTCATCACCACCATCATCACCATGATCAACAACATCATCAGCATAGTCATCATCAGCAGCATCAACATCAGCACCCGCATCACCATCATCATCATCATCATCATCATCACCATCATCATCGTCATCATCAACAGCATCATCATCAGCTCATCATCATCAGCATCATTACCAGCATCAACAGCATCATCCTCATCCTCTGCATCATCATCAACATCATCATCACCATCATTACCATCATCGTCGGGTCTGGCGGAAGTGGATCCGCAGGGAGAGGTGCAATAATATTTGCAGTAGTTGGTGCCGGGATGCATCCGCTTGCGCGCTAGATGCAACACTCACGCGTGGATGCAATTGTGCATTTTTCGCACAAGATTGCTGACGCCCGTGCTCTTGTGCACAAGTAATGCACGATTGCCCCGCTCGCCGCCGACCCATCTGCGCCAGGCCCACTACTCCAGCTTAGCGGACATCTTTCCCCGACAGATTAGCGCCGTGACAAAAAATCGCGAGGAACGGTTTTGTTATTGTCGGCCTCTGGGGGCCCTTGCCGGGCCCTGGGACCATCGGAAAGTCTGCACTTTTCGAGGGGCAGTGGATGAGCGTTCAAGCCTGATTAGTGGGTCTGGCGCAGATGAGTCCGCGGGGAAAGGGGCAATTACACTTGCAGTAGTTGGTGCCCGGGTGCGTCAGTCTGCGCGGTGGGTGCAGTACTTTCGCGTGGATGCTGTTGTGATTTCCTCACACGCAACAGTTGCCGGCCGCGTGCCATAGTCCGAGCCCCCCCGCACTAATTGTGCATCACTGCGCGCAGTTGCACAACATGGACAAACGATTGGACCTCTCGCCGCCAGCCCCTCTGCTCCAGACCCGCCACCCTACCCCAGCTCAGCGAGCATCGCTTCTGGACCGCCTCGCGCCGTGGAAGATCACGGCGCCGGCGAGGCTTCGGGATTCGGGATGCGCGCAGACAGCTCCCGAGTGGCCCGGGGCAGTCTCAACATCCTGGCACCGCTTCCGGCGAGGCCCCATGGGACGCTCCGAGCCCCAAGGTTGGGTTGTTGGGCTCCGGTCGTGATTTTTTTTGTGATGTCGCAATGTTTCTCAAGCGACCAGTTTCAGGGGAGGGGGGGAGGGGGGATGTGTAGGGGGGATGGAGGAGGAGGAGGAGGAGGAGGAGGAGGAGGACAGCCCGAACGACTTAAAGAGAGCTCCCTGCGCGCAGCCCGAAGCTTTACCAGGCCTGGCCGGCCGACGTCTAGCCCCCTATAGGTGGGGGGATATGGTGCTGCCTTCGGTGGTCGCGGGGACTATCCCTACGGCAGGTTCGTGTCGTGCCGACCCCAGCGTTGGTTTTTGACACCGCAGGGATCGTTCAACCTTGAACGATCGGCCGCTGCCGCAACGTCCGATCGTTCAACATCGATCGATTCTGGGTCGCCGGCGGCGTTCAACCTTGAACGTCCGCGCTGGGGTCGCCGCTGGTCGACACGACGCAAACCTACCGTACCTTTGGGGGCGGGCTGGTGGGGCTGACGTGCCACGGCCCAGTGGGGATGGGGATCGGCCAGACGATGCTGAACTACACGCTGGTCGGAAGAGGTGGGCAAGAACGTGAAGCAGGAAGCCGATAAAGTAGATTGGGCTCAGGCCCATCCAAAGAAAGAAGAACAAAACACAGCAAAAACACATCGATTCTTCAAGTAGGAAGGCGCCGGAAATAGACTGGGATATGGAAATTCAAAAATACCCGCATTCAACCACTGACGTGTATCGGGTCAGACGAAAAGGGAGGGTGTTAAGGGGATAGCGAATCGGCCCGAGTGGCTGGTCTTCCTGGTGCCCTCCTTAACCGGGAGGCCCCGATTTGTCGAGGAAGACGCTGCACGCAGCTGATGTCGCAACTCCCCCTTTTCTTATCCCCCCTGTGCACGCAGCATATGTCGTAACTCCCCCTTTCCCTATCCCCCCCTTTGCACGCAGCAGATTTCGTAACTCCCCCTTTCCCTATCCCCCTGTGCGCGCGGCAGATGTCGTAACTCCCTCTTTCCTGACCTCCCCTTTGCACGCAGCAGATTTCGTAACTCGCCCTTTGCCTATACCCCCCTGTGCACGCAGCAGACCCGAAGAGGTCTTCGTGGGAAGGATCAGCCGCTGCTCGGCCCGATCCCTGAAGGGGCCACGCAGCTGGATTTGGCCAGATGCAGCCCCAGACTGAGCCGGATTGGGCGACGTGGGGCCAACCCTACGCTTAAGTCGGGCCTGTCCCCCTACAGAGGGATTTTCGATGAACCATAAAAAAATACCCCAACAATAATCCAATAATAATCTAAAAATAGTCTGGGGACTATTTTTTGAATATCTTTTGACCTTTTTGGGGAATATTCTGGGTATCTATTATTTTTCGTCGAAAACCCCCCTGTAGGGGGACACGCCCGACTTAACCCTACGCGGAGCTCGGCCAAATGAGGACGGCGTTCGCCGCGGATGTGCCAGAGCCGATGCTGAGCTCACCTTGGACGCGGCCGGGGGGTCTGCGCTGGAGAGACCCCGAGCAAGTCGGTTAAGAGGGCGGCCGACGGCAAGGCCGCTCAAATCGGTCCCCCGACCCTCCCCTGGTCGACACTGACAGGTTGTTCTAGCCGCGTCTGGCCGTGGCGACGGGTCAGAACCAGTTTTGGACCACTCAGCGGCGCGCCTGGGGGGCAGTGAGGAGGAGCAGGCCCTCTCAGAAGGCGGCGGGGCTTCTCAGAAGCCCTCCTGAGAAGCTCCTGCGTCTTCGAGGCAGGCTGAGACAGCTCCTGAGAAGGCCGGAGGCTTTCCCAGCCTTCCGAACAGCCCCCCCCCCCCGCCGATTTCCCCCTGGGCTCGCCGCCGAGCTACCTCAGCCCTCCCCCGGCCAGCTCCAAATCTGACCGCCCAGGCGCTGCAGCGGGGCGCACCCGAGAGGATGGCCTTGGCCGCCTTGAGGTTGTCGACCTCCTGCCGCGGCCGAGCGCGCGCGGCCGCGCCACAGCACACGGCGAAGGCACGCGGCCTCCGCGCGGCGCGCGAGCGTGCGGGGCGAGGCTGGCAGTGCGGTGCGAGGAGCAGCGCGTCGAACAATAAAACGAGGCCAGGACCAAGACAAGATCGGACCGGATTTTTGCTCGTCGCTTTCGCCATTTTTTGTTGTTTTTGTTTTTTTTCGTCGTTTTCGCCATCTGGGGGCAGCTGGTGGCCGTTTTCGGCCCCTGGGGGCCCTCGCCGGCCCCCTTGGACCGTCAAGAGAACACTGGGGATGGAACACGGGCTCTGGGGAAGGGGTCCAGCTCTCCGGGGGTCCACGAGGCCAGGGTCGGGACAACATCAGATGGGGATCAATCGGTAGTGTCTGAGACCTGGCGGTGCTGGAAAATGTACAGGGCGCGGCCGCTCGAAAGCGCCCTGAGACTGCTCCCAGACTGCTCTGGAACGCTCTGGAACGATTTCTCCTGGTCCTGACGCCGCGCGAAGTGATTTGGCGGGAGGGGAATGTCGGCTGGCCAGATCAGCCATGAAGGGGCGAAGGGGCACTACGCACTACAGCGCGGCGACCTCCCGCAGCCCGCCCACGCGGCACACTTCGTGGGATCGGTGGCGCCCGCGCCCGGCCTCGCGCGGGCACTTTGGGGTGCGAATATCCGCGCAGTCGACCCCGCTGTTCTGCGTCGCCCAAGTGTGACCGGAATTGATGGGGCCAGAGGATCGCACCACATCGCCAATGCAGCGACGACGTCGGGATCGGAACGTCGAACCCTGGATCGTGCCGCACTGCCGCTTTTGTGGGCGATGCGGCGCGATCCTCCGATCGACATACTCCAGGCCAATCGGGGTGGCCTGGAGAATGCGCGAGCGGACAATACGGCGACAAACAAGGTCAACGGGGCAAACGTGGGCAACGCGTAGAATTCAATGATCTGCTGTTCGCGTGGGGGGAACCGTGCTGTCTGGCGTTCCCTCAGGGTGCTCTGAAAAAGGAGCCGAAACATGAGCCGCTTCTCGACAGGCGCTGGATGAGACGAGAAAGCCCCACACCGCCGCACAGGATCGCAGCGTGGGCCCTTGTAACAAGTCATGAGATTTGGCAAGACGGGCATGTTGGCATGAGGGAAGAGGGTCCAGGTGGAAACGGGTCGTCGACCCTGGGGCATAGCATGTCCCCAGGATTAGATGATCTTCCTGAGTCATTGAGTGCCCGGGTCAAGCGGAGAGGGCCTTCAGACTTCATCCTGGGTCGCCCTCCTGCCTCTCCGCACATCCAAAGTGGCAGAGCGGGTCGCCTGCGCCCGGGCCTCCTTGCGGACGTCGAAGAATCCGCTGGCCCCCGCCCTGACGGGGCAAAAAGGCGTGCGACGTGCTCGGCCGTCATGCCACCGACACAAAGAAGTCATGAACTTCTTCCCACGCTGCCGCGCCGAGCGGTTGGGGGGGGGGGGGGGGGGGGCGCATCTTCTCTGCACCCGGGGGGGAGGCTCGAGACCGCCTGGGTGCAAGCGACAGGGCGCCATCCCCCCGAAAAAAAAGCGGCAGGGAGAGGAAGACGGTGGGCGTGTTTTCCGCCACCGCTACCATAAGTGGGAGGGGGAGGGGGTCCTCCTCCTCCTCCTCCTCCTCCTCCTCCTCCTCCTCCTCATCCTCTACCTCCTTCCCCCCTCCAACTTATGGTGGTGGTGGTGGAAAACAGGCCCATGAGAAGAGGAGGGAGGGGGGAGCTCTGGCCGCTCCCGGGCCCCCCGTCGTCTCCCCCTCCACGGGAGCCCCCGGAGACCCCGCAGGAGGGCGGGGACCTCCCGCGCGAGCATCGGCGCACCTGCCAGGCCCCGGAAGCAGCCACGTGGACCAGAATCGCCGCACGATGGTGCAAAAAACTGGCACCCAGGATGGCCCAACTAGGGCGACGATCTCTATACATATCCACTGCTCCCGGCCAGGCCAATCCTGGGCCCAAGAGCTGTGTATACGCCCTCCTGGCTTGGCCAGGGAGGCATATACACCGCTCCTGGGCCCAGGATGGGCCTGGCCAGAAGCAGTGGATATGCATAGATCTCGTCGCCCTACCAACGTAGGCGCGCGCGTCCGACCCGAACATATAGTATACCCATCTTGTAGTGTATCGTTTCCCGAGCGGTGTGGCCAGAAAGCGCCCGCCACGACGCATATACTATAAGATTTCTCGGTGCGCGCGTCGCCCCTGGGGGGGCGACGCACATATAGTATAAGTATGTTGGGGTGTTGCCGATGCCAAGCTGGCACCCAGGATGGCCCAGCGTGGCCCAACATGGTCTTCAGAACGGTCTGAAACAGGCCCTGAGATGGCCCAAGGATAGCTCCATGGCGGCCTCAGAGCCTCACAGAGATACCCCAGAGAGATGCACAAATCAGCCAACACCACTGGTGTATATACATGCACAGGTGTGAAATATATACCTACACGTATATGCATATAAACAGATGTGAGTACGGAAACGGCGACGAGCGCTGTCACTGTCTTCTTTTGTGACTTAGCCCGACACTAAGTCACAAAATAAAGCAGCGGTCGTCGCTGTCGGCGGCGGCAGGGCCCGGGGGGTCTGGGACCCGCCAGAGAAATTCGTCATGAATGAAAACGGTGTATGTGCACATGGGTATGCGTATGCGTAAGGATATACATCCATGTGCACATATATATATATATGTACATATATATATATACAAAAGTGCATGTCCATGTATGTGTAGAGGCATTGGTTTTCCATTTGCGCAACGCGGAGCAAGGGATGAGCTCACTCCGAAGGGCGCGTGGGGAGACTTATGAATTGCGTCCCACACGCGTGCCGCTGCGACTGAGCCTGCCAAGCGTCTAACTAACACGCTTGCGAACCCAAGAAAGAGGACGATGAGGAGGAGACGAGAACAGCCCAGGGCGCCGTTTGTGCATCGATCCCCAGATGGTCCCGTCGACCACGTGAATGATGAGGCCGCACACAGCGGCTCAATCAAGGACCTTGTGCAGCGCGAACTCAATCAAAGTCCAGGCGGTGACGTGGCTGATAGAAAAAACAACCCACAATCCTATCAATACAGGGGAGGAAGCGGGAGGAGGGAGGAGGAGAACAAACGCGAAAGGAGAGGAAGAAGCGAGACAAGACTGAGACAAGACGTAACCATGCTAGGCACGAGCACTCGTATGTCTCGAACTGAATAAACCCTTACACATGCAAATACACAGACATACATGTACACATACACGTTTACATATACATCTACATATACCTATGCATACGCATATACATGCACAGGCACTTACACATACACATACGCATGTACATGTATACGTACATGCAAATGTACGCATAATCGCACACATGCATCAAGTACACAGATACGTACTCATGCCCAAATCCATATATATATATATATGTAAACATATACATGTACACGCACATGTACGTAAGCGTATATGTATACATACGCCTGCACATGTACACATACCTGACCATGTACATACACAAACACATGTACCTAAACATGCACAAGCGTGTACGTATACATACACAAGTACATGCGCACGTACGTATACATTCATATTTATATATACATGTACCTGCACATCTACATGTACGTATAAACATACATGCGCATACACATACACAATACACATATAAACGTACACCTATACATGCATACATACATACATACATACATACAAACATGCATACATACATGCATGCATGCATGCATGCATACAGACAGACAGACAGACATACAGACACACAGACACACATACATACATACATACATACATACATGCATGCATACATACATACATACATACATACATACATACACGCGTGCATCTATATATGTATATAGATAGATGTGTGTGTGCATACATACATACACTTACATACACACACATATGCATGATTGCGCATACAGACAGACGGACAGGCCATCTTGGGCCGCCTTGAGGCCTTCTTGGGTCATCTTGAGCCTACCTGGAGGCCCGCGCGGCCAGTGTTGAGGCTCTCTTGGGGCCGTTCGAGGATTCTCTGGAGAGCCTCGAGGCACATTCTTGAACTCTCCTGGGCATCCAGAGGAGCTTCCTGGAGTCGTCTGAAGCCGAACAGATGGGGAGGCCAAACTGTATGCAAATCCCCAATGTGCTGGTACTTGTTGATCTCTCGAGTAACCTTCTAGCAGCCTCTTGCGACGTACTGTCACTCGTTGGAGCCGCCTCGGACAATCTTGGGGACGCCTTGAGCTGTCTTGAGGTCGCTTTAGGTGCCGTGTGGGTTCGTCTTGGGCCCTTTTGGGGAACTCTTGGGGCGCTCTTGGGCCCCTCTTGCACCACACCGCACAGCTCACGCCACATAGATCGCACCATTGAGTTTAAACCACATTGCACATACCACATAGCTCACACAGCAGAGCTAATGCCGCAGAGCTCACACAACCTATATTACACCAGACAGCGTACATCAAACAGTTTTTACCACACAGCTCCCACCACGCAGCTTGCACGACATAGCGTTCAACACATAGCTTACATCGCAGAGCTTGCACCACATAGCCTACACCACACAGCCTACACCGAATGCATTACACCACCTTGGCCATACCGCATAGGTTACACAACAAAACTACGCCAAAGGGAGTCCACGGCATAGCTGACACCACCTGGCTTGCACCGCTCAGCTTGCAACACACGGCCGAGACCACGTAGCCTGCACTGCATAGCTTAAACCAATATATAACGCCAGTTAGCCTACACAACAATAGTTTAGGACACGCATGTTGCACAACATAGCATACATCACATAGCTCACCAAGCACAGCACATACCGCATACCCTGCACAGCCTGTATTACACAGCGTAGCCTGGCCTACACAGCATAGCTTACACCGCATAGCTCCCGCTGGCATAGCTTACACCACGTAGCTCACACTGACTGCATTACACGACAGAGCTCGCACCCCATAGCCTGCACAACATAGCATACACCACATAGCTGATGCTGCATAGTTTACACCGCATGAGTCCCACCTCCAGTGCATCCAGAAACCTCCAAGGGACCCCGCAGAGGCCCCAAGAGGGCTCCCGAGGAAAACGACGCAGCACAGTCTCGAGGAAAAGCCTGCCCGGGGCCCCGGGAGAGCTCGAACCGGGCCCTCGAAGAGCCCCGCGAGGACCCAAGGCGGATTCCAAGAGGGCCCTCGAGAAGTGCCCAAGCGTGCGGGCCCACGTGCGCCGAGGCGACAGCCCAGAAGCCCTCCACCGCGCGGGAGGCCCCCGATTGGCAGAGCTGCGGTCGGGGGTTCTCCCTTCGAGGGCCCGCCGCGACGCCCGCCTTGCGGGCTGAGGGGTGCAAGCACTGGCAGGTTCGATGCCCGCGCGACAGGACACTGTCTCTTGCAGCGTAGCTGTCTGGAGTCAGCACATGTACATGTGCCGCCGCGCCGTTTGCTCTCAGCGCGCCCCAATACACGAAGCCGACAACACGGCAAACCCACGGCGAACCTTGCGTCCGAAGCGGAATTTGCCCTGTGGCCGAGGCACCCTCCTC